TCTTTCATGCTTTATCTTAATTTCCTCCCAAAATTTCCTCCTCTTTCAACCTTCATTGTCCACTTTCCTCCCTCGTACTGATTTATGTCTGTTGTGATTAACACAGCGATGGTGCAGCTCTCCAACTTTGTGGGGCCTATTTAAGTTAATATAGTTTTATCTTTATCTCTTGACCCCTCACCGACTCTTTTAGCCTCTCTCTTTTTACTATTTCCATGTTTAAACCCATTACTTTTTTATTGTTACTGTATATTGCTCAACCTCCTCCGCCTGAGAATCTCACATCCATCCTTTATCGCTCATCCTTACCTCCCCCCATTCCTCACATCTTCACTCGCACCAGCGTTCTGTTATCTCTGTGTGATAAAACTACTAAACTAAGTTGTCAGAGGCCATGCATAACTCCCTCTTAAATCTCCGAAGCCTCATAAAGCCCTATACTCTCCCTTTAAATCTGCCTGTCAGTGCAGACATAATCGATAACCTTCATGTCTCATATGTATATAATAGCCCTCCTCCCATTGCATCTCTTCTCCCCCGTCTCCCACTACATGTGTTTCTGATTGGGTGATAGTGACAGGAGTGAAGCTGTAGGACTAATAGAGAGGGAAAGAAAGCAAAGAGGAAATGCAGAGCATATGGATGGAGGGAAAGGTCATGGCCTTCTTCCTCCCCCTCTCCTGTTAAATCTCATCGTCTCTTCTCTGTGGTTTTTCGTGGCGCTCCCTGGACAATGAAACTGAAGCCATTTTAACATTAGCGCCGTCAACATGGTCTGACAGGCCGCTTGGGTTTTTATAATGCTAAAAAAAAATTATGTTTAAATAAAGACTACAAATCTCTCACTCTTCAACCCATTCCTACATGTGTGTTTTTGATGTTTTCAGGAGCTTAGAGGGTACTAAAATAAAACACACAAGATTTCTGAGCATTTATACCTCTGACTGTCGCCACTGTCACTGCAGTTCCCAAACTATACTTCTGTTAACATTTGTGTTCAATTTTTTGCACTTTCCTTTTTGACCAACACATTCTCACTCCGACCTCATCATGTATCAACATTTGGTCATGGACCTTACACGTCCAGATATGATATGAAAGGTACCCTGGGTGTGTTGGTTGCTGACGCTCTGGGACGCCGTGTCAAGTTCTGCCTGATACATGCATTGTCTTCTTTCAAAATACACTTCCATTTTCACAATTCAAATTTAACGTTTGCATTCAGTCTCCTTCAAAATAAACGCACTATATCGGTACAACAATGCAAACTGACGCTTTGTTTTCCTCCAACAGCACACACAGTTGGGTTTAGGCAACAAAAACATGTGGTTGGGTTTAGGAAAAAGAACAGGGTTTGGCTTTATAATCTTACAGCATCCTAACACTGCTCTCCTGGCTGAAAAGCAGTGATTGTTGGATCCATCTCACAACCCCTCCCATCCACCCTACTTAGACTTTCGCCGCCTTAACTTTCATTCTTGTCCCGCCGTGTTTCCCCCTGATGCCACTGGCCACCATTAAACTATAACAGCGACCAGCCACGTATCATGCCGACGTTCAAGGACGGCTATTTTCAGTGTCTGACACTGTCATAATCACTGCCCAAGTGCCTGATTTTGACGACTTCGGAGTGAGACCGCGTTGTTTTGGTTGACAACTTTGGTTGGAACACAGCCTCTGATTGGATGACAGAAACTGCTAGTGGACATCAACACGAAAAAAATGGATAAATAATTACAGAGGACATTCAGAGTCAGGCCTATAATTATCAATATATTTTTTTCAAAGTTTCCAAAACGACACAACAGTTCAAGGGTGGTTTACGAAGCTTCTGAAAAGGATGTGACTGCACCTGAACCTTCGTTGTAACAGCACAACAATTAGCTTCTGAGAGTGCAATGCTCAAGCATTCCATGGGTGCACCCTGAGATAAACAGAGATCAACTATGGGAACACAGCAGCTGGCAGATATCGTTCCTTTCTCCCATAAATATCAGAATCAGAAGTATCAGAAGTTGATCATTTTAGTGCAGGGAGAGCTTAATATCTATCCTGTGGACAATATTTAATACACACGTAAAAAACAACGCCAGGAAGACGATCAGCTCTGCACTCGTGATTTCTGGTAAGAAGGCTATGATATACAGTGCTGGTTGCTTGCTTAGCAACCTAGACACAATCTGCCTCTGCACCCATGGAAGTTGGAACAGAGTAGGTACAAGAGCAGCACCAAGCACCCTTACCCATGTTTTCCAGGGGATTTAAAAACAACTTGTGTCCTGGCTCTAGCAGAGATATTTAGTATGTTGTACACAACATCGTTAGTCGAAGCCTACAACATAACATGCTACAAGTTCTGTATTAATGTTGTTGTATTTGAGCATTGTAAAACAATGACCAGGAGACGTGCAGCAGTAAATGAATCAATGTGCATTATAAAAAATGTAAATATTGTAAATTGGCACGGGACATTGAAAATATTGTCTACCCTGCTCTGTGACAGTTTGTTTATCTCCCATAATTTCCAGTACTCTCATCAAACAAATGCATTATTGATTCGCTTGTGAACACGAACAATAAAATTACATAAGACGGTCTGGCAGACTGTTGCAGTGCCCGTGGGGGGTCCCAGAGTACTGGCTGTCCTAGTGTTAAAGCAAAAAGAGATGTCAGAAGTCTGTCAGTCTGTTAGTTTACGCTGTGTTTTTAAGGTTGATGCATCACAATGATGCAATTTCATGAACCCTCCAAAAATATAGACAACATTTTCCCAAGAACTGATATGTATTTACAGTCTCATGCTAGCTTCCACATGTCAGTACATCTGTAGTTTTTAAATTTCTGTTTGTGCACAGCTCAAAGAAGCAAGATATAACACACTATCTTTAAGAGTCACCCAGGCTAGCTGTTGTCCCCTGTGACCAGCCTTTGCTGACTGTAGCTTTGTATTTTTCCTACAGACATGAAAGTGGTCCTAATCTTCTCATCTAACTCCTAAGCAACCAAACAAGCAGATTTTAAAACGTCAAAGTATTCCTTTAAGGTTTGAGTGGTCCAGTTGGGGCCAGTTGAGAACACCAGGGAGCATATTTTACTGGTGGCTAAGAAGGTAAATCAGAGGTTTTACTGGAGACTGATACAGTGAAACCAGTAAAGCAGACATTTACGACCATGTTTGAACTGTTGAGCTTCACACAGCGTGAGTCTTCCTGCCCTGCAGTGTGAATATAACTAGGTGCATTTACCTAAGTAGAAATATGAGGTACCTGTCCTTAACTCGACTTAACATATGTTCTTTTCATGCCACTTTATACTTCTATCCTACTGTAGTTCAAAGGGAAATATTGTGCTTTTACTCCCCTACATTTATTTGACATTTATTTAGGTACTTGTTACTTTACAAGTTAAGATTTTTGAGCACAAATCATATGAAGTGCTGATGATATATGATGTTTTGTTATTAATAACTACCCGGCAGTATGTGCAAGCACAGTTGAAAATAAAATGGCAACTATTTTGACATTCTGAGATTCATTCAGTTCTATTAGCACAGGCTGAGTATTACCCAAGTATTATAGAGTCCAGTAGAGGGTGGAGCCTGTGTGAGAGAGAATAATCAGCTGATCCAATCATTAATCATTAAATACAGTCCTTTATACAAAAAAAGAGCTCCACCAGCTTCATCAGTAACATCCTGCCTTTACATTAATGCATGAGTAACAATGATATAATATATAACAGTATAACAATAGCAAGAGCTGTCTGTCTGCACTGAAGCAGTCAGGATAAGAGATAGTACCTGCAGTTTTGAGGCCATTGTTGTCTGCTGGGAAATGGTGGACTGCCCCCTCTGGGTTGGGAGAGTTACTGCCCCAAGCAAAGGAGTTAAAGTATCTAAGGGTCTTGTTCATGAGTGAGGGAAAAATAGAGTGTGAGACGGACAAGGCAGTTTGGCGCAGCATCAGCAGTGATGCAGGCACTTTGCCAGACCGTAGTGGTAGAGAGGAAGCTGAGCTGAAAGGCAAAGCCCTTGATTTACCGATCTAGCCACAGTAGTGATTCTAAGACTGAGATTGCGGATACAAGCGGCTAAATTGATTTTCCACTGCAGGGTGTCTGGGCTCAGCCTGAGAGTTGGGTGAGAAGCTCAGACATCCAGAGGGAGCTCGGAGTAGAGCCGCTGCTCCTTCGTGTCGAAAGGGCAAAAGGGGCCAGGCATTTGATCAGGATGCTGGTTGCCTCTCATCTAACAAAATGGTAGGAGGCCCCAGGGCAGACCCAGAACACGCTGGAGGGATTGAATATCTCATCTAGCCTGGGAACGCCTCAGGATCCCCCAGGAGGAGCTGGAAAGTGTTGCTGGGGAGAGGGACGTCTAGAGTGCTTTGCTCAGCCTGCTGCCCCTGTGACCCGGCCCCGGATAAGGGGATGAAAATGAATGCATATCTGTCTGCACTGAGTACTTTTAATACTCAAAGTAAAGGTTCTGAATACTTCATCCACTACTGCTTCCCTGTGTACAGTTGGTGTGTGTAATTGTGTGTGTTTATGAACAACTGGGTACGCTCATGCTCCATATGGTACCCATAGCTGGTCCATCTGATTGCAGCCACAACACATGTTCAGAGAAAGACAAACGACAGCTGTATTTTCTTTGTGGGTCTAATTATTTCCTCGCGACCACTTAGCTTGTCACAGTATGAAGGGGCTGCACGAGGAACACCACCCACATCCACGCACATACAAAAACAGACATTGAAATGGACACAGGCAGTAACACACACACCCACACACAGACATGATTAAGATGTGGAGTCGGGGTGAGCGGAGGCCTTGTATACACAACTGCCCATTTAGTGCATTCCATATTTAAACAAAGTGGATGCTGAACTTTGACACCTTCCTATGTTGGAGTTTCTTTGTGCTCCACCGCTGATGACTTCATCCCCTCTGCTTGAGACAGATAGACACACACACATGCACATACTGTAGTTAAGTACCTTTCTGTGTGGCGTGGTGTGCTGTGTCATAGCCATGGGGAAGCTGTGAGCTCCTTTTAGCTGAGTCTTCTCCCAGAGGGAGGCGAGCCTCTGGACACACTCATCTCTGGAGCACAGGGCAACACTGGATTTACTCTGGTCAAAGAAAGAGAAAAGAAAACAGCAGGGAGGAAGAAAAAACATTAAACAGAGATATGGCCCAGATAGAGATGGAGGAGAAGTATGGGGGGCAAAGAAGAGGAAAAAGGTTAGGAAAACAAAGGTACTGTTTTTTGCCATTTTACATGAACAGATGCAACCACATTTTGCATTCCTAAATATTTAACTTGACTGTAAAGCTCTTCATATTCCCCTAAATATGACAAGGAGGCTTTCAGAATAAATATTTAACTCAAAGCTTATATTTTTACAACTTCAGTGAGCAACTGTTTTCTGTGCACCTGTAGGTGTAGCAGCATGATGTGTATCCAAAGATGAGGCTGTCGGCTGGTCAGGTTGAAACAGGACTTAGCGTACAGACAGTAGTGGCCCTTAAGAGGACAGGAGAACGACAGCTTGGCCACACATCCTCGATTTGAATCTGTCACGCAGACACACGCAAAGACACATTTAAAAATGGTAAAATTATTCATCTTTCGCAGATGCTCCAATTGAAATTCCTAAGCTAAACCAGAGTCAGTCTGTGGGCTCCTCTCTGTCCCCTTGCACATATGGACCTGTGTAACCTTGGGAACATATTTACAGAGTGATTCATAGCATGCAAGGACACCGAGTCTCGCAATCAGGAAATGTCTTCTTTTCTCAACACCACCTCCCACAAACTCCCACCTATCAGCGAGGGAGAAGAAACTGGTGAAGGGGCAACAGTTTGTGCTTTACATGGAAATCATCAAAATGAAATACTAACTTAGCTACTTAGTTACTCTATGGAGTGCTTCATTTTAATATTTCATTTTTATTTTATGTCAAACAAACAAAGTCAAATATTAAGAACCTTATTTTAGCTGAATAATATGCCTCCTGCATAAAAATGGGTTTCCTGGTAAAAAAAAAAAAAAAGGATTTCTTCTGTCTTTTAAAACAATGACTGCAAATTTTTACCAGCCGTCACGAGTCATCATGTGTGTGTGTGTGTCATCATGGCGAAATGAGGTGCTGGCGACACCAGTTGTAGCGGGAACTAGCACAGAAGCTGTTTTGAGTACTTTGGCAGGTTTTTATATGATTGTCTGTCTGTGGAAAGATTTTGTCAACACAATAACATTGCAACTGTGCAAGACAGAGTCAGAGTCTCTTTTGTGTAGATAAGATCAAAATGACATCAAGTTCAAAGAAAAGTGTGTCTTGAGCAAGGGCCCTGGGAGTGGGGAAGGTGATAGCAGCTGAAGCGATTCAATAGCAAGATGGTCTCTGGCTGGTAATAAATTATTATTATTATTATTAAATCACTTTAAAATAAATCACTTGATGGTGAAAGGATATAGGAGGGAATTGATACCATGCAAAACATGGATAGTGTGCACATCCAGCTGAGTACAGCTGCTGCACAAAAAACAGCTTGCAAAGGAAAAGGGGAAGTTCGCACAATGAAAAACCTCCCAAAGACTAAATAGCTGAACATTTTTTATCGATAAGATCTTTGACAGGTAATATGAACAAAAAGCAGGTTACATATACAGACAAAAATGACAGCTCAACCTACATGGAGTCTCCACTAGTTGCCTGGCAACTGCTTCCAGCTGAGAAATAGTGCAGCACAAAATCCCCAGTAAAACTGCAAATTGTTCGCCTGATATCAGACAGAACTGTCAGCTCATTACAGTCTGAAGCTCTGGTGAAAGTTCAGCCAGGAAGACTTTTCATGCTCAGGCTGTAAGTTTCTTTCTCACCCTGCCATTCACTCCTTGCACGCATGCTCACTCACTACCTCTAGGTGTCATCATCTGGGTCTGTGAATTGAGCCTGTCAGCTGTTTTTCGGCTGATTCACAATCAACCAACAGCACAGCGACACACCTTCTCTGTCAGCCTATCATCTTACTGCTCCTTATTTTGAATATGGTTCTTTCTCTGTCGTAGTTCTTTCTAGCTGCAGTCAAGCGCACCCTCCACCTCCGCATCACCACCCACTCTTTACGGATTCATCATCCTCATCTGCCTCAGCACTCATCAGCCTCAGAGTCATCAGCCACCTCCACCACCAGTGTCTGGACTCCATGGGGGGATTTATCCTGCTGCCAATCAGATGTCCCTCAATAAAAAAATATCTCCCTCTGGTGTCCAAGCACAAAAGACTTCTGTTAAATCTTAATTAAGTATTATCTTCATTCTTCTGTCTCTCCTGATTGAACTGTTTCCCTCTTCAGTCTGACATTGCTTGTACTCTGACCCATTTGCGTCGCGGAGGGGGATTTGATTTTCCCTAATCAATCACTGGAGCCCAGCGTATCTGCCTGCATCTTATATATATTAAAGTACACACTGTAGCCATGCCAACATGCTGGTTTTATTGGGGTTTGGAGCGGAGCTAAGTAAAAACAAACTGAAATGTCAGGCGATATTAAGAGGAACCCTTGACAACAGCTTTAGTCCCTTGTGGCACTCATCAGATCGATTGCTTTTCCAAGCAAGAAACCACTGTTTCACATCACGGTGCCTGATGAATCCTTCAACTCGGTGGAGTGCGCAAATTCAAAGGTGTGGACCCATACAAGCACATTTCTGTACAGATTAAACACATTAGTTTTGGAGATGCTGGTAGGTTGCCTTTGGACAGAGCCAGGCCAGCTGTTTCCTCCTGCTTACTCTCTTTTTGCTGAGCTGACCTAACAGGCTGCAGGCTGTAGCCTCATATTAGACTGTCAAACACAAGAGAGGTGTCAATTTTCTCATCTAACTGTCAAAGAAAGAGCGCCTCTCCCAAAATGGTTAAAGGAATCAAACATTTTCTAGATCGTCATAAACCTGACGTTCATTTCTCATTCTGGACATGTTATCTTTGGAATAAACTCAAATGCCTTACAAATGTACAAAATCAACTCGTAGGAGACACTGTGAAAAGAAATGGTGGTAACTACACGTGTTGAACTACAGTGTGCGTCTGTTTATCCTCCTTCATTCGTTAACACATGTGTTTCTGAGAAAGTTTGTTTGTATCCAATAGTCGGTGACGCTGTATATTTTTGTGTCAACGTGTGAGAGTGTGTGTGTGGATGTTTGGATTGAGGATACATGTGCATGTGCACTCTTCTGTGTAATCCTCATCCCCTGAGACGGAGGGTCAGCAGCTCAAGTGTAGGTCAGCCAGCAGCATGATGACATCATCCAGCTGAGACCACTTGTGACATCATATCCTAAGTGCTGAGGGGTTGATTCTCATTAAGAGACTAAGAGAGGCTATGTGAAGCACCAATTATGGATGTAGGGATGGATGTGCGTCTATGTGTATGTGTTTAACAACTGTATATTTACATTCATTTTTATATTTAATCAATTAACCAGAGGCCAAAGGAGGAGTTTGTTATTTTTTGTCTTGTTTCCTCTTTTACGTGTGTGCGTACATGTGTGTGTGTGTGTGTGCATGTATGAGCGACTGTGTGTGTGTAAGGTATGACTCCTGGCTGCCTCCTAGTTAAAATGACATTAAGGCCAAAGGCGGAGTAATAACATCCCCTCCTGTCAATCAAAATATCATCACCTCTAGTGCCGCATTTGAGTCTGGTGCTTTGTGTGTGCATGTGTGCGTGTGTGTGTGTGTGTGTGTCCCAATAGGTGGGGCTCTCTGCTGCAGATGGCTCGGACGTTAAAAGGACTGTACTGTCTAATTGCATATCTATTTAAGTATGTGTGTGTTTTAAAGTGTGTTAACTGGTGTGTATTGTTGAATATGTGCATGTGAATGTCTGCACACATGGTGTTAGGTGTGTAAGGTGCCAGGGATCTTTTTACCCAGCTCAATGTATTCTATGTCTTAATGTGTCTTATCTTGTAAAATATGTGCATCTGATATATCACAAGCATATTTCATGTCGGTGTTTGGTTGAATTTAGCTGTGTGAGTCATAATTTCAGGAAGGACTGGATCAAGTTTTCAAAAAAAAATCCCAATCAAAAGGGGAAAGGTGATAACAGGCGCTGCTCCAGCACAAGATGACAATGAAGTCTTAATTCAAACAAAGCACATCGAATTGAAAAACGGAACATAAGCAGGACATGAATGAAAATAAAATATCAAATCCCTGAATATGAGAAGGATGAGAGGGGAATTGTGAAAATGGATTACAAAGTTTTAGAAAGTGGATTAGATTAGTTTGGAGACGTAAGAGGTTTCTCGTTACATTGTTTTTTCACATGAACCGATTGACCCTCGTTTCAAGTCAGCACACTCTGCTTGAACTAAGGTACGAAAGCATGCGTGCACACACACAAAACTGCACCATATATACATGCACTTCATGCATACTAAATATGTATGCATAACATCCATCTGTTTCTACTTAAACATGACTGCGTTGTATAGATGTAGCTGAATTTAATAACCCTTCCCACTTCAAAACAATTCTCTGCCTCTATACCTTGATTAATATTTCCATTAACAAATTAGCTCCGTGACATTAGCCCTATGGAGTTTGGCTCATAGTTTTTATTATAAGACTACATTGTTTCCCTGCAGATTAAGAGCAAGTACAAGTTCACTGGAGTCAGCAGCTGAATAAAAGGATTGGCAGTACTCTATATTTTTCCCATGAAAAGGCCAAAAGTAACAATAAATTGAATCTGAATCAAGGATCAGATATTGACCACAATGTTCTTATGCATTGTTTGCTTTTATGCATGGTGGTTTGCATGTAATGTAAACCTATGGATGAGGTCAATGGGGGACAAAGACAATAAAATGAATGTCATGATTTAATGTCAAATTTAATATTCTAGGGGGAGATAAACAATAAATAAACTAGAAATACCACCTCATGTTTGTGTGCCTCTGCCAGCCAGTCAGGTTACAATTTCCATCCATGTCTGTCTTAAATGAAGCCATGACTGTAGACAATGCCTCAAACATGGAGGTTGCTGCAAAGAAGCTACATGTTCCGAAACACGGATGCTTCACACACATCTTTAACCCGACAGCCCAGAAGATCTATACCTTCAGCACAGTTTCAAGGTGGGCAGCAAAGAGTAGTGTCACCAGTTTAGTATTCGGGCAGATGATACAGGATGCCCAAATTCTAACTGAATCGTAATTTGCGCCAAACTCAATTGAGATTTTAAATAATGTCCCTCGATGCGTTTGGGGTTGTGTTTTGCTTTGCTTATGGTGCTCTGTTATGTGCCAGTGTTATGTGCAATACATGAATGGGTGATGTGCAATACTGTTAAGTCGGTGAGGATTCTCAGTCATCCAGGTCATGGTAATCGTAAGTGCTAGATCGTAGGTAACTGGACTTGCTTGAGTTCTTGAAGACGTTTTGCCTCTCATTTAAAAAGCACCATCAGTTCTACGTAATTGACTGGTGCGGAGCTGCAGGCCTTAAACTCTGTGTGGGTGTGAACCCTTACAGAGTTGTTATGGTCACATGTGAGTCGTTGACCCACCTGGCCATCTTGTGTGTCGTTAGGGTTAGATGGGTCCAGGTGAGAATGGGTGTTGAGTTGTCTCGGGAGGGATCCCAACGAACACAACCGACTACGTTAAACAGAGTAGGTGGCCTACAACACCACCTATCACCAATGCAGTCTTGGGATCCCTCCCTAGACAACTTAACACCCATTCTCACGTGGACCCATCTAACGAAAACAACACACAAGATGGCCGGTGGGTTGACTCACATATTTCCTTAATGACCATGTAACTCAGAGCTCACACATGACTTCAACAACTATGTAAGGGTTCACACCCACACAGCGTTTAAAGTCTGTGACTCCTCACCAGTTCGTAAGAACTAAAGAAACCTCTTGCACGAGAGCCAAAACGTCTTCAAGAACCTCAAGCAAGTCCAGTTGCGTATCGTATTGTAGTGTAAGGTATTTTACCCAACCGCAACGCATCATACGGCATCACATTGTATCACATCGCACCATATCGTATTGTATCGTATCCTATTGCATCATAGCATAGCGTAGGGTACTGTACTGTAATGTACCACATCTTATTGTATGGTATCATATCGCACCAAATGTCGCCTCTACTATTCCTGAGGTATGAAGTGAAGTTTTCCTTTGACATTTTGGATATAAATTGTCATAATTTCATCACTTTACCCTGTTAGACACTTGTGTGAAATTTGGTCTCAATTAGCATATGAGTTCTTGAGTTAAGGCCAAAAACATGTTTTATGAGGTCACAGTGACCTTTGACCACCAAAATCTTGTCAGTTCATTATTAAGTCCAAGTGGGTGGTTGTGCCAAAACTGAGGAAATTCCTTCAAGGTGTTCTTGAGATATTGCGTACACGACAATGATGGACGAACAACCTGAAAACACAATGCCCCTGGGCACAGCTGTCGCCGACGTGAAGGCAAAAAAATGTTTGCTGTGCTTCTTAGTAACTCAACTGCCATTGCCAAATTGTTGGAGCTCATAATAGAGATATTCCCCAGGAAAATAATATGATCCTCTCCACCAGCTGGGCTGACGGTGCTCAATAACTGGAAACAGCTTTTAGCACACAAACAGTCAAAGACGCCATGTATGATATCAGGTGTCTGTCCAGACAGGATATAAATTATAAGAGGATAAAAAAATGTATTCAGGACTGAAACTACCAATGTGGCAGAGGAAGAAAAATCACATTCATATGCCCTCTGGACGGGATTAAAATCACCGATCAGCACATGCAATATTAAAATAAAACTATTCATCCGAGGGACATAAATCCTTGTCCAATTGGGGCCTGATGTGTGTGTATGTGAAAGTGGGAAGGAGAGAGGGGAAGAGGAGGCGTATTCATACCACATCATTAATCAACCCCAGCAACCACGTCTGACTGTAATCTCATTCAGGTTCAGCAGGTTACACAAACCCTCCCTCTGCTTCTCTCCCTGTGCTGCACTTCTCTTCCTACTGCACAAACCAATAACACTGTCATCAAATTATCTCTAGTACTGATCTCAAAGAAAGCATGCTCCGACAGAACGGTTTGTCATGTTCACATTACCGTCTATCACACACTGCTCTGGTATGGGGATCTGCCGCACCATGTCTCTACAGAACTCTCTGATCGTCTCCATGTTGTCTCTTAAATGGATGAAGAGTCTGTCAGCGTCCTCCTGCTCCTCCGTCTCTCCATCCTTCTCTTTGCTTTGACCTTTCTCAGCCTCTTTGAACCCTCTGTCCAGGACAGCAGAGACAGGCATCGAGCCGTCACCTATCAGTTTTCTTTCAGTGGGTGGTGCTTCCTGGTTTTCTGAGTGCAATTTCACCAATGTGTTGGAGATGATGTTGTCCGGGTTTGGCTCCAGGCCCTCACCGTCCTCCCCGGTGTCTGAGTTGATGGAGCGGGAGCGCACAGCGTGGAGGGCCAGGCTCTTTGACCTATGAAGAAGCAGGAAATAAAAACAGTCAAAGTGAATTTTGTTTGCTTCCTGTTTTTGACTCAGTAAAGCAAATGTTCCAATGTTTGTTCCAGGGGTCTGTGGGCAAACGACTAAAGGAAAAACTTCAAGGAGACATTGTTGTCAATGATTTTGTAACAACTATGGGAAACAGCAAAATATCTGAACTTCAATGCATGGCAGGACTATTGCGGACAAAAGCCAATCTGGTCTCACTCCGAGGTCCTCAAAATCCGGCGCTTGGGTGGTGACTTCCGGTGTCAGACACCGATGAAAAAAGCCACCGGTAGCCAGCAGTGTTAGGGGGAAATGTGGCCGGAAAAGAAAGAAAGTTAAGACAGCGAAATTCTGAGTAAGGTGGGTTAGGGGTCCAACAACTTTCAACCGGGAGAGCGGTGTTCGCATCCCATTAGATTGGGCTTTTGTTGCCGAAACCCAACCATGTGTGTTAGCTGTTGAAGGTAAAAAAAATGTCCATTTGTGTTGTTGTAACAACGTACTGTGTTTATTTTGAAAGAAACTGTATGTAAACATTAAATTTCCTGTGAAAACGGAAGTGTATTTTGACAAGACAATGCATGTAATGGGCAGAACTTGACACCGCATCAACACAACATCAATAAGCAATGCATCCAGGGTACCTCGCATGTCGTATCTGGACAGAAAATCCATGACCAAACATTGATATGTGAGAAATTCGGAGTGAGAATGTGTTGCAAAAGCATGATTTTACTTTAATTACACTGAAGCGATTCAGCACTCCAGTTCGAGATGCTTCGCTAATGCCCAGTGTACCATGTAACATAGCAACATCCACAAATCTAACATGCTAACAGACACTTGCCCACACTTTTTTCAGTGGTTTACAGGACTACTCACATTATAACACAGCAGGTACGAACCATCCACCACCAACACTGACAAGGTGAGTCAACATTCTTGTTCTAAGAGGCTCTTTGTTTAATAGACTACTTATTATATGGCTATTTATCAAATATGTCAATAATTTTATACAGTCTTACTATATCTTATCTTACTATATAATGACGAAAACTCTGTTTGTGTGTGTGTCTGTTCCACGTTTTTCTCCTCACTGACTTGGTCAATCCATGTTAAATTTGGCACAGTGGTAGAGGGTCATGGGAGGATGCAAATGAAGCAATATTACGTCAGTTGGCCACAGGGGGCGCTATAGCAACTGACTGAAATTGCAAAATTTGAATGGGCATATCTCATGCCCCGTATGTCGTAGAAACATGAAACTTTGCACAGAGATGCCTCTCCTCATGAGGAACAAATCTGCCTCAAGAACCCATAACTTCCGGTTATATAGATTTTCCGCCATTTAGAATTTTTTGAAAAACACTTAAAATCGATCTCTTCCTAGGAAGTTTGAGCGATCTGCATGAAACTCAGTGAACATAATCTAGGAACCAATATCTAAAGTTCCCTCTTGGCAAAAGTTGAAAAACTTACTAAAACTGAGCTTCTATAAGGCAATGAATATTGCGGAGGGCGTGGCTCATCACATAAAGGTGTATAACATCTCAAGGGTTTCACCCATCACCACGCAACTTTGTAGGCATATGACCACACATAATCTGAGGGGACCCCTCCATTATTGACCCCATCAAACAAAATGGGGGCGCTAGAGAGCTAATTTCTTATCTAGGCCTAACCGCCATATCGATTTTTACCAAACTTGGTAGATATGTAGAACAGGACGCCTCAAGGTGACTGGAGAAATTTAACTCTAATTGGCAACTGGGTGGCGCTATAACAACAGAAAAATGGCTAAAATGGGACAGATCACTGTGGCTGCAATCGTACTATCAAATTAACTCTGTCTGAATACATTGCTCTTCTTAATGGGTTCAGTTGACTATTTAATCTGCAATTTCCGATGACCTGTTTCCCAAACATACACCATGTGAAACTGTACGTGGGCAACTGTGCACTCATACCCATTGAGTGCACAGTTGCCCACTAGTACAGATTTATTTATGCTATTCCTTATCTCTTATCTCACATGTAATGTCACAATGTTGGATGCTCACAAGGTAAACATATGTAAAAGTAATCCCTATGGGCAAAAACCTTAGGCTTCAGACTGCTCTGAATACTATTTTTCCAATGTTTTTTTCTACTTTTGGGACCTCAAGTATTGACATTGCTGTATGCAGCTACATGCTGTAATATCAAGGAAACGTGCAATCTTGGTTGCCAATGTTGTAAATTTCTCCCATTTTGGTTGTGCATTTTTTGGTTTAGATGCTTTTCTTAGTGATTTCTTTCACAGTAGAAAGTGCCACTATACTTCGTTATAGTTATTCTCCCGGCTGCAATGACGATGCAGAGAGACGCAGTGAGTGCAGATACAAAAGACACGTAAAAGCTGACCAATCAGAGCAGGCTGGGCTTTTTTGGGAGGGAGGCCCAAAGAGACAGGTACTATGCCAGTGTGTCAACACGGGGTGAACACGTGCTCCAGCAGAGACAGTGTGAGAAAAACACAATTTTTTTAAACATTAAAGCAGGTACACATGTTCTAGCAGAAAGCCAAAATACAAGTATGAACCTGAAAATGAGCATAATATGTCCTCTTTGAGATGCCAAAACATTGTGTACTTTTGCAGCAGAAACACGTGCAACAGGACTCCATGCTCTCCACGGACAGTACAGTCAAAGAAGTATGAGAAAAACCATGTGTTGGTTTTTTGGCTTTGTACACCAGCATTATGGATTTGAAATGAAATTACAGCGATGTTGTTGACGCAAGGACTTTAAGTGACAGGGGTGTTGTGTAGGAGTACTGCAGTGTGGGACTCTCGGACCTTTCACAGTCCCTTAATTTAAGTACAATGTAGCAGGACAAGACAAGCAGTACCTGCGAAGTACACAGGCCCCTTAGGAAGTTGATCCATTTCCTTAAGACCAGACTGATGGCACAAAAAATGCCTACTGATATTTCATTCCAAATCCAATGTATTGATGTAGAAAGCAAAAACTGTTGCATTATCTCACAGCTTTCAATCTTACTAAACAAAATGTAAAGATATCCAACATGATTGAGCTTCTGTGATGTGTGTTCTCAGCATGTGGACATTTTTATTGTATTTCATTTTTTATTTCTGATTTAATAAACAGTATTTCTGTATCTTTGGATGGTCTGTCTTTGGTTAGCCTCAATAAACACATACAGACAAACATCGTCTTGGCTCAAAGGATCTCTTGTTAATTTGACTGGAAATCAATAAATCCATCCACACAGTGACAGAGATAACAGTCTATTCTTCATTAAAATAAATTCTGACAATCCAGCCAGATCTGCGCAGAAACCCGGCATACCAACCGACCTGCTGAATCTCATTTCTCGTCTCTCCTCCCTGACGGCTTGGCTCAGGCTGTAGCGACGCTGGGGGGCAGGAGAGTCCTCCTCCACCTCCTCCTCCACCCCCTCCTCCCCCATTTTCTCCTCAAAGGCCTGAATTTTCACTTGCAGCCGCTGCTCTGATGCCCTCCCTCCCCCTGGAAGAGATGCACAGGGAGACGGCGGGCATGCCTCGTCCACCCTGTGACACACACACACACACACACACACACACACACAGGGCAAAGGGGTTGACTTGGTTTGCATGTGGTGGGCACGTGAGATGAAGCTGGACAGACACATTTGGATGGATTTCAGTCGCCTCACTCTCCCCCTCCCTCCCTCCCCCTTCTGGCTAGCCTTTCTGTAATTCTTGCTTTCTCATGATGACTGGCTCTATTTCTGCGTCTCACCCCACGTGTCTCCCTCTCTCCCTCTTTTGCTGGCCACATCTCACCTTCTCCCCTCTCTCTATGGCTTTGTTTTTCTTTGTCCCTCACTATGGTGCCTGTCTCCTCTCTTTTGCTCTCTAACCAAACTAATTATTCCCTCCCTCCCTTCATCTCTCGTCCCCTCTTTCCCTTCCCTGTGTTTTTTCCATGAGCGGCCTTTATAACTTTATTAACCAGTCCACTTGTTTGCTGAAAGAGGACTTACAACTGCCCCATTGTTGTTTCTCTTCTGTCCTCACCCCCTGCTCTTTCGCTAATAAACCATCCTGCCTCTCTCAATCCCTCGTTCCCTCTATCTCTCTTCCAGAAGACCCCAAGCAAAGCCTCTGGAAGCCTCCAATCCTGCACACGATGTTCTTATTTCGGAGAGAGCAGTGCGTGTCATTCCCACACTGCAGCCAGTTGAATCCCAGTCAATTTGTGCACATTAACACGCAAACACACACACACACACACACACAAGCTGTACTCCCATTTTGTGCATGCATACTGCATTTTAAAGCCCTTCTCATGACTTCCACTTATTGTAAATATAGCTATGGCATGAGAGAAGTCACTGGAGGACAAACTTGGAATGCGACATAAAGAAAAACATTTTAATGGTCTACAAATAAAAGTGTGTCGTTACAAACCCAGATTTTTAAGGGTTTAATGTGTGGGCGCAGAATTCTCTTGGCTTTGTGCAAGTTTCAAATAAGCTGCAAAACTTTTGTCTGCTCTCTGTGACGAGATGATTAAGACACTTTTTGTTAGGCGAATACTTGTGGTTCCAACAGGAATCAGTATTTCAACTATTTCGTCAATACTGATTTCATTATCAATTTTGCTCCTTTATCCAGCTGTTTACAGTTTAAGCACTTTATCAACTGCCAATTATTAAACCTAAAGCCTTTTAAAAAATAAGTAGATAAACAACAACAATTCTCATCCACTTTTCTGGGACTGGGTCATGGGGGCAGCAGACCAAGCAAAGCACCCAAGACATCCCTCTTCCCAGCAACACTTTCCAGCTCCTCCTGGGGGACCCCAACACATTCTCAGGTCAGATGACATATGTAATCCCTCTAGCGTGTTCTGGGTCTGCCCCGGGGCCTCCTACCAGTGGAACATGTCCGGAACACCTCTAACGGGAGGCGCCCAGGAGGCATCCTGATCAGATGCCCGAACCACCTCAACTGACCCCTTTCGACACAAGGAGCAGCAGCTCTACTCCGAGCTCCCTTTGGATGTCCGAGCTTTAAGGCTGAGCCCAGCCACCCCACAGAGGAAACTCATTTCGGCCGCTTGTATCTGCGATCTCACTACCCAGAGCCCATGACCTTAGGTGATGGTTGGGACGTAGATGGACCAGTAAATCTCAGCTCCCTCTTAAATACAACAGTCCGGCACAGCGACCGCATCACTGCAGAAGCCACACCAAACGGCTGATCCATCTCACGGTCCATTCTACCCTCACTCATGAACAAGACCCCGAGATACTTGAACTCCCCCACTTGAGGCAGTAACTCTCCCAACCATGGCCTCAGATTTGGAGGTGCTGACTCTGATCCGGACCACTTTATACTTGGCTGCAAACCACCCCAGTGTATGCTGGTTTAGTTTTCAAAATTTGCTATTTAACTTTCACTTACTATTATTATTATTATTTTGTATATATTGAGGAAAAGCTCAGCTGTATTACTCATAGAAACATCACTGCTTGTACAAGCACCAATAAACATATGAGCTAAAACGTTTGGCAATGTTCACAGTGAATCTCTAGTGGTCTGGAACTACTTGTTACAGTACAGTATTTCTTTATGTATAGTGTAGTACACATTGATCAGCCAAAACATGAAATCACTGTCAGGTGAAATGAATAACATTGATCATCTTATTACAGCGTAATGTTCTTCTGGGAAAACCTTGGGTCCTGCAGTCAGGCAGATGCCATTTGACATGCATCACCCATCCAAACAATGGCTTGGCGCCCCCAGGCAGGACAATGCACCATGCCACACTGCAACAACTGCTCAGATATGGCCTGAGGAGCGTGACAAAGAGCTCAAGGCAATGACCTGTCAACCAAATTAGCCAGTTTCTAATCAGATCAAGAATCTGTGGGACGTTCTGTTACCCAACCTCACAGCCCACAGGACTCAAAGGATCAGACGCCAATGCCCTGGTGCCAGACACCACAGGACGCTCCCAGAGGTCTTGTGTCTATGCCTCGACAGGTCAGAGCCAAGTCCAAACCACAGTGGTGCTTCTGACCTGTTGAGGCATAGACATAGGACACTCTCAGAGGACCTGTGTCTATACTTCAACAGGTCAGAGCCAAGTCCAATCCACAGTGGGGTGTCTGACCTGTCGAAGCATAGACACAGGACCTCTGGCGTATCGCCATGTCCTGTGGATACTGAATCTGATTGGAATTTGGGAAATTTGGAGGTCAGGTCAATGCCTTGAGCTCCTTGTCACGTTCCTTAGGCCATTCCTGTGCAGTTTTTGCAGTGCGTTGCCCCACTTGGAGGGCAACGTGCCATCCAAGCGGGGCAACGTGCCACGCCGCACTGCACGTTGCCCCGCTTGGAGGGCCACTGCCATCGGGGAGTGCCATCGCCATGAGGGGGTGTACTTAGTCAGCAATGGTGTTCATTGCCTACTAGCAATTTCAGTAGTTAACACATAAGAGGATGAAAACAGCCTCAGACTCTGTAAATGTGTGTCTCCTTACCTGCAGTGCATGGCCGTGCTCTCCTCCAGTCTCCTCCCCAGCAGTCGGGCTATAGCAGTGAACGAGTTGCTCATCCTGTAGATGTCTTTACCGCAGCCTCCCAGTAAAGACGGGTAGCGGTCTGTCAGAGCTCTGATCTCCAGCAGCAGTGTGTGGTGAAAGCTGTGCTCCATGCTGCCTAGACAGGACACCAGGTAGACCAACGAGCTGTGTGCATGAGTCTGGAGAAAGGAGACAACACAGAAATTATAAGAAATGGAGAAAATTAAAACATCTTTTGTTGTGCTACATGCTGGCCTCACCATATAACTAAATGAAGATATAAGAAAGTAAAGAAAGAAAGGATAGGATTGCCAACAAGTTGTTTTACTGTACAAAAATCACCCATTTTAATGGTTCTGTCCAATGGTGTGGGTTGTTTTTGAGTAAACTGAAAAAGACTGAAAATGGGACCAGTGTTGTGTTCGAGGACGGCTTGAAAGTATCGTGTCAAAACATGTGTTTCGATGGAAAAAAAAGAGAGCATTTTATCTAATTTGACACACATTCGTTTTACACTTCCAAGGAGTTTGGGAGGCGGGGGGTTTGGTGCAACTTTTGTTTCTAAATCACGACAAACAATAATAAATACAAACACATGCTCTCGACAAACTTGGCACTACTTCCCCAATCGGCCTTTGTAATAACACACACGCACAAACATTTCCTCATTCTCAGCCTGCTTTTTGTGTACAATTTATCCAGAGCGTACACAACCTGATCACCTTGTCGCAGAATAATACTTTAAAAGGTTTAACCCCTTGTTACGCTGTTGTTGTAGGTTCACGTGTGTTTTACATGCACTTTTTTCTGCAGTACTCCAGCTTCCTCCCACAGTCCAAAGACATGCAGGTTAATTGGTGACTGTAAATTGTCCGTAGGTGTGAATGTGAGTGTGAATGGTTGTCTGTCTCTGTAGCCCCTTTTACACTGCCAGATTTTCCGCGAATGTTGGGCCGTTTTGCCAGCAAGCTGCGAGCGTTTAGACACACAATTTTCCGCCTCGTAGGGTAGACATATTGGCGGAACCTTTTTGGTTTAAAAAGAACGAGGCGGCCTTCTGCAACGGGAGGGGTTGTTGATGACTTGTGAGAGGAGCTGTTGATGACGCCACACGTGCCACCCACTGGCGGTGGATAAACAGGAAACAGCTGATAGCAGCTAGTAGCAAGAGGGAAACGCAAACCTGACAGACACTGTAAAGATGAGCAACTGGTGAGACAAGGAATTGCGCGCCCTCCTTGTCCTCACAAATGAAGAGGCCATTAACCGTCAAATGACGGGGACGGTGAAGGACGGGCCGACTTATGAGAGAATCGCCGAAGGGCTGACCAGCCGCGACTTCCCTCGGAGTACGTCACTGTTTACATCACACGCTGAGCTACACATTTTGTTACTTGCTCACACCCCCCATTGCCCTGAAAAAGGCACATTCTGTATAAACAAAAGTAGGTAGGCAGCATTTTGCCGCACTCCCCGATTTTGTTTTTATACTGCCAATGCTGAAAAAGACTGACTGGGCTTTTCTGCAAATTTGCACAATTCCTGTTTAAAAAGGGCTTATGTGTCAGCCCTGTGATAGTTTGGTGACCTGTCCAGGGTGTACCCTGCCTCTCACCCAGTGTCAGCTGGGATGGGCTCCAGCCCCCCCTGCAACCCGAAACAGGATAAGAGGTTATGGGAAATCAATTAATAATGTTGCCTTGAAAATGCAACATTTTTGTTCTCTATTTAAATCCATTTTGGCTCCTAATAAAAAACAGACGTTTTAAAGTGGTGCAAACCAGTCAACACATGAATCATTACGATAACAGATGATCAAAAGTGACATGATTCGGTAACAGCACTCCTGCAGTGTTTTAGGGCCGAACCAGAGCCAACACAACCTCCATCTGAGGACAAAAACAAAAACAGGATTCTTTTCAAAAACTCTCCACACTTGTAAAAACTCACACTGCTCGGACTGGAAAAATAAAGACCTCCCTCTCCTCCTCCGACTGAGAGACAAACTGATTGATTGATGGAGGGACAGAGAGACAGACAGAGCCAACCTGTGCTTACAGAGCTCAAGCACACCTTGTAACGAGGAGACAAAAATGCACTTACTGCACAGTTTGGGCATGTTTCACAAGCACTCTCTGCTGGATGCTATATTTATACATGGATGCTAAAACTACCAGAAAAGGCAGAACTTGACTTTATACTGTAACAACATGCCAAGTAGGTATTTAGGAGTTTGTCGGCCTGGAGTGCAGACTGCAGGTACAAAGACTTTCCTGGGACATGCGCTACTTGTACACACAGTTCAGGCATTTATTGTTGAGATGATTTTACTTTTTAAGGACTCGCTACAAAACTTCCAAACATTACAACATGAGCAGAATTGGATCATTTACAGTTTGCAAGTGAGACATTTTACAGTAATTCTATTAAAAGCCTGCCAGGTCCTGCTTAATCATCAAATGTCACAGATCATGTTTAATTGTCTGGAAAAAAGTACTCGGCTTTGATTTTTGATGTCTTAAACACATCGCTGGTTTCACTCGTGGCCAAATTCTTATGTAAACCTGCAGCAGAGCACAATAACAGGAAGTTTTTTAAAAACTAGGAACTGTTGTATTTAATTATAACGTTTAATGTTCTCCAAAAAAATATGGCAGAGTAACAGATATTCCTCCAAAGTGCCAATCTGACAGGATACAGATCTGGGGAAATAACAGCGTCATACAGACAAGCACATAAACATCCTCTGAGAAATACACAACTTGGCCTATTCATTTCTTTCACTCCATTATCATAATTCCAACAACACTAGGAGCCAACCTCCACTGGCAGTAGCACATGTTTGTTTGCAGGAGATATCTGTTATAAATTCATTACGAAAATACCAATGATTCAGAATTTACCAAAAAAAAAGGAAGGAAAACAATGCACCGGTGTATCGACAAGCCAAATCCTTCCTCTGCTCACTAACCTCTATTTTTTTCTATCTTTGTTTGCTCGGTCGCTTAGTTTCCCCTGATTGTCCATCAGTGCACTGAGCTCTCTGATTCCTTCGGAGCTGCAGTCTGGCACACTAACAAGCCCCATGGAGATACTGCTGGGTGCGTGAATGTGCACTTTCCATCTCAGAGCGCATTAATTATTTGCAACAATGAGTATATATTATCAAAGACCGGATGATTTAACAGTTGAAATCTGAAAATTTCTATTTGAAAAAATTTCAGCAAAGCACATCAAAGGTGACACAGTACGAAAACATCACACTTCCCTCATCAAAACCTGAGGTTAAGTATGTTACTATATCTTACTATATAATGACGAAAACTCTGTTCCACGTTTTTCTCCTCACTGACTTGGTCAGTCCATGTGAAATGTGGCACAGTGGTAGAGGGTCATGGGAGGATGCAAATGAAGCAATATTACATCAATTGGCCAAAGGGGGGCGCTATACTAACCGACTGAAATTACAAACTTTGAATGGGCATATCTCATGCCCCGTATGTCGTAGAGACATGAAACTTTGCACAGAGATGCCTCTCCTCATGAGGAACTCATGAGGAGAGGAGGAAAAATTTGCCTCAAGAACCCATAACTTCTGGTTATATAGATTTTCCGCCATTTTGAATTTTTTGAAAAACACTTCAAATCGATCTCTTCCTAGGAAGTTTGACCGATCTGCATGAAACTGGGTGAACATAATCTAGGGACCAATATCTAAAGTTCCCTCTTGGCAGAAGTTGGAAAACTTACTAAAACTGAGCTTCTATAAGGCAATGAATATTGCTGAGGGCGTGGCTCATCACATAAAGGTGTATAACATCTCAAGGGTTTCACCGATCACCACGCAACTTTGTAGGCATATGACCACACATAATCTGAGGGGACCCCTCCATTATTGACCCCATCAAACAAAATGGGGGCGCTAGAAAGCTAATTTCTTATCTAAGCCTAACCGCCATAGCGATTTTTACTAAACTTGGTAGATATGTAGAACAGGACGCCTCAAGGTGACTGGAGAAATTTAACTCTAATTGGCAACTGGGTGGCACTATAACAACAGAAAAAAAAAAAAAGCTTAAAAATGGCTAAAATGCGACAGATCGCTGTGGCTCCCCCTGTGGCCCAATGTTTTGTTTTTTTCTAATTTTTGGTATGACTAAGTCATGGTATGGTATGCTGTACATAATCACGGAAACTGTCAGTGTGTCATTCTGTCAGTCAGTCATTCTGTCTGTCCCACGTTTTTCAAAAACTCTGTCTGAATACATTGCTCTTCTTGATGGGTTCAGTTGACTATTTAATCTGCAACTTCTTATGACCTGTATCCCAAACACACACCATGTGAAACTGTACGTGGGCAACTGTGCACTCAATGGGTATGGACTAGTGTTGATTATTTCAGTCAATTCAATTTCTTTATAACTAATTGCCAACTGTATGTTTGTACAAACAGTGCCTCCACTGTACTATGACAATTTACAGACAGTTTTGAGTTACATTTATAAGTTATATTTCATTTTTGTGTTGGAAAAATAATGTTTTTCCTGGAGTTATGATCACGCTCAACACCATTGGCTTCACACTTTTTAAATCACCCATAAGGACTGCATGTCATGTTCTCTCTCTTTGCCAGTTGTTCCTAACCTTTTGGCTTCTCACTTGCAATCTGTGTCAATGGTTTTATATTTTTATGTGCAATGAGCAGAGAGTTATTTTTGCCTTCAAAAATTGTTATTTTGAAAAGGTTTTATAGCCCTGAAGAGGTAAAACACCTGGCTCTCAGGTCATATAAAAACTGTGAAAACATCAAAACAATCAATCCACAGTCCACATATATTCAGAAACTGTGCCTTTAAACGATCCGTCAGGACTTATGTGAAGTTGTGATGTCACAAACGTTAACATACTAATGAGCCTCTATTTCCTGTTGAAATGTTTAGCAATGCATGTGAATGACATCAGCTGATAGGAAGTAAACATGGACACAAGCTGTCAAGCTCAGAACAGCCTGGACTTTTTTGGGAGAGGGGCTTAAAGAGACAGGCGCTAAAATGGAGCGTTTCAGACGGAGGGTGAATACGGGTATATTCTAGCCTGGCAAGACCACCCTGATGACGTGAGCTCAACATTTCTGTTTTGCTCTGGCCTCACTGCTGCCAAAAACACTTTCCGTGAGCAG